GAGAAAGTTATTTGTGTACGTAATCAAATTGACTACAAATACATCTTATTTATGCTTTAAGCTTATAGCTTGTAACCTTATATCTGGTAAGCAAGAAAAAAAAAAAGAAGAAGTAGAAATTATTACTACTATTTGAAAATTCTCTGTATACATTTGTCATAAAATTAGTAGAAAAAAAAAAAATTAAAGTTCAAACACTGACGTGATTTTTTTGAGGTTTAAAATAGCCCAAGTTTTTTTTTTTGTTATAAAATCAGAAGCTACTTTAAACATCTGAGTGGTTTTTTGAATAATGATGCTTGAAAAGTTTTCCATGAAATTGTTTATAAAGATGGTTGAGGAGAATATGAAATAAGTGAGGGTGGATTTAAAAAAACGGAAGAATAACACTTTATCTCATTTTTTTTTTCTTGTAGTAATAAACAAGAGATTAAGCCCAGTTTACATACATTTAAGAAATGGTTTTTTTGTTTGTCAATTATTTTGTTCACGTGTTTTTTTTTTTCTTTTCTCCTGATATTCTATATTTATACTCAATATAACTGTATAACATTTGACCACAAAAAGTCAACTGTATTGATATAAAAAAAAAACAAACCATCAACTTCTGCTAAAAAACATTTATCTTCTGTTTCTTAATATGTTTCAGATTTTACTGCTTGTTTTATTTGAACAATTATCAACGACAATTTCAGATGACAACAAGGTGGTTGAACATTGCAGTAGTGTTTGCCTGTTTAATGGCAGCATTCTGTATTGCGGTACCTTTGATGCGTTTATCTTCTGATCATAATGGTATTTTTATGTCAAATATTCACAAGAAACAGTATCCATTAAGGATACCAAAAATATCAACTAAAAAAAGGTATGGCGAAAAAAAAAAGAAGAAATTGGTATTTTTTTTTGACAACGTTCTAAAGTTTTTATTGCATAAATACAGTAATACAAAAAAAATAAAGAAAAAAGTTTATTTTTCCTTTCTCCAATAAATTGTACCGCTTACCGTCAACGTCATTTGTTTGTATTGCAAAAACTTGTTACTAATTTTGGTGTTGACCAATTTTTAATGACGTGATGTGTTTATTGTTGATTACAATTCTTTCTTGTTTTTTTTTTTCAGATTTTTACTCTTAAAGAACACTGATCGAGTTTTATCAATAGGTCCTCTATCACCGTATGAATATTCAAGGAAATTATTAGCTGAAAAGTTGCAGACTGAAAGCAACAACAATGATGACGATTATAATAACAACAATTTAAGGCCAAAACGAAGCTTCAAAAATGCTGTGATTGAAGGAGGTTATTTCTTAGCTTTTTTTGTTTGCTCTTTTCTTTTACCACTTTCTTTTTGGAATATTTAGGCTGTCTGATTAGGAGAGACTGCACTAAGTTGGTGGTATTATAAAGACTGATTAATTTTTTATTGTTTTAAGCTTTTTTTCCTTAAAACTTTTTGAAGAAGAAATTAGTGTTTTTACGTTAAGAATTTGGCTGTTTTTTTTTTTCCTTCTATTTAAAAATTTAATTTTTTTTTCTAACTCTTTATAATTCTAATTCTTTATGATTTTTTTTTAAAAACTACCGATTTTCACATTTAAAGAATATAACATCTGAATATTACACTTTTACAGCAAATTGTGAGCATATTGAACTGATTGACTGTGATAATTATACAACAAATGATATGGAATGTATGGTTACTGCAACGGGTATGACTTGTTGTATTTGCACTGGAGAATTGAAAAAAGAATTTACTGATTATAGCATTTTTCGGTAGGTTTTCATCAGTATTTTTATCACTCTTTAAAGCTTATGGATGAAAAACTGAAAAAAGAAAATGATGATCCAACTCACAAATTCAGATTATCTGTATTATCCACAGCTGGTGTACTTTTTTTTTTGCGAATTTTACTAATAACTAAAAAGGTAGCTGTTTTTGGATTCTGAAAACTGTTTTATTAGAACTGTTACAGGTAACCGATACAAAACAATGGTCATTTAAAGGTTGGGTTAACAAAAAAATAACAGAAAGGTCACCAGCAGAATTTCAGAATTTGTTGTTGATTATTATTATTATTATTATTATTATTATTATTATTATTATACTTCATCTGTACACAGTATCAACTGATCTCAGTGTTTATAACAAAATAAATTGATTTGATTCACTTTTTTTTTGTAGCTTTCAGTTGAAGTTTTTTTTTGCCAAATAGAATCTCAGTTATATAACATAATTCACATTTTATTTCTATAAAACATTTTGCAATTTGTTATGATTATCAGAAGAAGGAACTGAGATATTATTTTGTTAATTTTTTTTTTTTACTATTACTTTAATTTGTACACTAATATTTTGCTGTATTTTGTTTTCAAATAGACAAATGTAATGCTTCTGAAATTGTTTCACTTTTTTTTGTTTTTTGGTTATCATTTTGTCTTTGGATATTTTGCACATTATAATTGGTAATACCTCTTCCCTTCTCTGTTTCGTTATAATTTTCAACTATTTTTTTGTTTTTTTTTGCTTATATTAAGCATTTATATATACCCTAAT